GTACAATTCACATTTTATTGTGCCTAGTGAAACAAACACTTGGGTTTACGTTTAGCTTAGCAATATGATACTGGTACTATGCTTAACGAATTCCTCATAACATGTGAAATATAAATATGAGTTTTAATAAAATGTCAGCCTCGCTCCCGCAGTGAGAGCGCACCGATTCAAACTTCTGATCTTGGAGTATTTTCGAAGAAGATGTGTTATTTTTACTTCTGTAGGGTAACCCGTTAACGTTTTTTGTAGGTAACGTAGTGTGGTAACGCAATTTTTTTTTTGTGTGTGTAAGCGTTACGAGCGATGCACCAAGAAATCTCAAAGGCCAGGCAGCGCAGTGGTATCTCAGAGGGGTTTTGTACTTTTGCCGAATTCTCTTGGTGCAATATTATTGGTTCACATGGTCCCAGATCTTTTTGAGAGGTGTGAACCAAACGTAATATGAAAATAAATGGTAAATAGTAACGCTATGAGTGTTGAGCACGTGCAATGCATAAAAATAGTGTTTTTGTAAAAAATGGTTCGCATGTCTGCTGCTGGGGACGTGATTGTTATGCTCTTTATGCGGGACTCGTACAAATTAACGAGTAACTGTACGGCACTAAAATTGTTACATTTGGAGATCAATAATTGAACGCTAGGGAAATATTCAATTAAGGCTTGCACAAGAATATACGTACAAAACAGCGAAGCGGAGCTGCGCTAACGAAGTTTTTGCTCCTGGTTGAATGAATTTACTGTGTTCAAATTATTATGAAGCCTTCCAGCGATTTGCGTCTCTTAGTGCGCCTGCAGCTCCGCCAGAAATAACTGCAATATCATAAAGTCCATGTAAGTTGGCGTCGAGTCTTACTCGTAGGCCTTTTCGAATATGGTTTACAGAGATGTGACTTCGAAGGGCTTATGTGCCATGTACTGCCTTACACTAACTCAATCAAAACGATTTTACTGAAGAAGGGTGACCGCCACATTGCAAGGATGCAATTTTTGTGGAGAGAAGCGCACGCTCACTCGTATGTTGCCTTCACAAGGGTACCCGCGCCAGTGCGTGTAGCGCCCCAGGCGGCATCGGTGCGCTTTGGGGACCGTTTTTGGCGGCCGCTTTTCACATCTCCTCATTCTAGCGTCAGTGTGTGCATCCACGTCAAATGAGGCTATTGCTGCCAAACAGATAGGCATTGTACAAGCTTTTGTATATCACTGCTCAATAAGCACTACTTCTGTGAAATGATGTTTCACTTTCGTGTTTTACTGATTCCTATGATAGAGGGATCAGCCATGTTTGTTTTTAACTTGCCAGCAACATGAACTGTCTGTTTTTTACGTTTTTATCTCATGCCAGCTACATGTTTAGGTGTTGAAACGATATCACTAAAGCGACACGTTACAACTGATCTCTAAGTATGTCATTTGAACTCTCAATAAAAACACATGTCACACAAACTTGCATACTTTAAATATTACGCTTTGTTTAAAACAATTGTACTAGAAATGTTCAAAGCACTTTCCACACATCTGATGTTTCAAGTAGCCCCAACCAAGCCTGGCCACTTCTCAGAAGCCAGTGTATGCTCAAAAACGTCGTACTATGGCTGCATTGCACTCATGCAGTACACTCACCGGTCAGTGCAACAATGAAATCATAAGCAAGTAGTGATGCAGTTAATGAACACATCAGATTCTGCATCACAAAATGTAATACTGTCATCTTTCGTGGTCATTTCAGAATACGGGATCTAGTGAGACTTTTCATCTTTTTTGGCTATGAAGTTCTCGCCATCTATGACAGTATTGAACACTTCAGGCACTTTCTCAAAGGTGTGCAGTTTCATAGACTTGCTGATCAGAAGCCTCTGGTACATGTGCTCCACTCCACTACTTCAAATTGTGTATCTCAGAAGCTGCTTCATTCAGCTTAGGCTCTTTAATTTGCCATTAACATTCACTATGTCAAGGACGTGAACAATCAAGGAACCGATGCCCTTTTCTACATTAACACCATTGGATTTTCTGAGAACGTAGTTAAAAGGAGATTCTGGTAATTTCATTATGTCCACTGACCTCAGTAAAATTTTCAACATGTGTTCTGTTCGATAATCTGGTGATACGGTATTTGCAAAACAAGATGACTCCACAATATTAAAGGGAGACTAAAGGTAAATACTTAGTCAGTGATGATCGCTGAAATAGTGGTCTTAAAACCTAGTGCTACTTTTGAGCCAAGGAAGTGCTTATTTTAAAATGAAATCATGTTTTAGTGGTCTGCATTGTGTTAGCACACTTCATATTACCCAACTCAAGTGGAATCTCACATCACTGTTGCTGTGCACAACATATCCCGGCTTTACTGCACAGCCGCCAACACTAGTAGCAGGAGAGGGAAAGTAGCAGGAGCCACATCATCAACAGCCATTGAACAATTTTTAGCCATGGCATTCCAAACATCATCAACAGCCATTGAACAATTTTTAGCCATGGCATTCCAAATTGTAGGCACGATTGCTTCAACTAGGCCCCGCTACATGGCATGACCTGTCCAGTTTAACCACGTGAAAATTCGGCTTTTGAATCACTCGCGCCATTCCCCATAGTAACGTCAGGCAGTTTTTTTTTTTCCATGAATCAAACAGAAACGAACAAGCAGCATTTTATTACGTCTCTCGATGCACATAAGGTTCCTTATTTAGTGCAGCTAGTTCGATTATTAGTGATTAATTGTAGGCGATAAATCTGACTTCATCGGCATCATTTTGCGAATGTCCTACTTGTGGCGCATGTGTTCTTGTGCTTTTACATTACTTTCTCGGTAAATAGGGAACTGCTGTTGATAATATTGTCGTTTTAGAGATCATACATTGAGCTCTCACTCTGACTTAAGTTGTTGTTTGACTTCAGTCGCCCTATAATGAGAACTAACAGACAAGTGAGAGAAAAGATGAGAGAAAGGCAGGGAGATCAACCAGATTTGTAGCATCCACTTTGCTACTCTGCAATAAGGGGAGGAAGAAGGGGAAGAATAGTGAGGAGAGCTAGAGAAAAGTAGACACATGAAAAAAAATTGAGTAGGGGTGCTGTAGCCTATTCAATAGGAAACTAAGGACATTCAAAGGAAAGTATAGGGTATGCTAGTAGAATTAATTGTAATGTAATTGTGAGAAGAGAAAAGTGGACGAAAAGGTAACTTGCCATTGGTAAGATCCGAACCTGTGACCTGCAATTTCAAAAGTTGCAGGTTTGGATCCTGCCGGTGGCAAGTTATCTTTTCGTCCACTTTTCTTTCTTCACATTTGCATTACAATTACTTCTAATAACATCCTCGATACTTCTCTGGGCATCGCTGTCTGTTAGTTCTCATTGATAATTCCTCTTCAAGCTCTGACAAAAATTTTGCACCTTGGTTTTCTTAGCGGGTAGCTTATGACCAAATTATCACTATTGGAAAGCTTGTTTGCGTGAGTGCGTGACAATTATTTGTTCAAAGACATTTATGAGAACACCCAGTCGCAGTTTAGGTTTCAAAGAGCACCGAGTTGGGCAGGAGCAGGTCCGGTGACTAGTTAAACCTATCTGGCGCACAAAAACTGTGACGTGGGCACTGTGTGCGAGTGGGCATCGCATTGATCAGCCAACACAAACTGCATGTACACACTGCATCGTACACTCGTGATAAAACACACTAACTATTCATCACATTCAAAAATGTTGACAGAAATGGACAGCACCACATGCTTGCAAGAAAACTCGATGCCAACAGAGGACACATACCATGCCGTCGCCTTTCTGGCCTGAACGAGCATCCACTTAGAACCAGTGGCGCTGTGCTGTGGTCAAAGTAGGCAGAACACAAAGCTCTCTCATAGGGTGACGAAGAGGTTTTGTGACCAGTAAAAAGTATTGAGGGGTTATTGTGGGGAGGGGGGTCTGATGCTGCTGTCCATGCCTTCATTTGCACTTGGATTTCTCGTTGTGGTTGTCCTGACACCATCACGATGAACCATGGATACCATTTTCAGTAGCTTTTATTTAAATCTCTGATACATCTTATCAGTAATAAACACTGCTCATCTCATCTGCAACCACTCGGTCAACCATTTACCTTTGGTGCTATTAGGTCTGTGAGCTGTTTACTACTTGGCTCGGCACTTCCTTACGGCTCTTCAGCAACTTCTTTGCCTCTATTAGCTCGCTTTTTAGAGCCCCAGCATTACCTTAGACATGTTCTGCATTGCCCCCAATTTTTCAGGCTAGTGCTTCAGCACTCTTGCGATGCCAACATATTCCCACATTTTGACCACGCATCTGCTATGCACTTGTTCTTTTGACAAAGTGCTATCAAGTCACCCGTGACACCTGTGTTCGACAGGATCTTTTTTGTCATCAGCTGTACTGCCAAGACAAGCCACAATTTTTCCTAATGGCAGACAGGATCTTGTCAACTTAGGTCACCTGCAATCGACTAATACAAAGACTGCTCACTATAATGTATATGCCAGCAGTCATATCATTTCTACCTCCTGTCTAGGAGCTGACAACCTAACAGACACCCTCTTTTGGTCACATATATTTCAATCTACAGTCTGCACAGGGAGACCCCCACCCCTCACAGCTTTTTTCAACCTATAGGGAACATTTAATAAAAAGGGGCTGCCAAACATTTTGGCACTCTGTAACTATTCCATTTCTACAAATATGCTCAAGTTGGTAATTAAATAATTATTCAACATGCTTTTGGCAATTAGTGTTTTCAAGTAGCTTTGGCTGCACAAAAGTATTTTCACGTCAAAGTGCAGTTTGTCTGGGAAGATATTACATGCCTTACGATCACAGCATTTAAATAGAAAGAGGGTTGCAAAAACAAAAACAGGAAAAAAAAACATCGGTGCACCAGAGGTGTCTACTTTGGGAGTTAGAACTTGCTCAGAAAATTTGAAAAATATGAAAAACTGTATTTAGAAAAGAAAGTTCCCACAAGCCATAATGCAGTCCTTTAAATACTGCAGTCTGTGCACCTGGTGGCCGAGCAGGCTACTGGCAGTGTGGAACGCCTGGAGTTGCGGCTGGGCGCGGATCGGCGGCCCTTGAGGATGGACCTATCTTCGGGACGCCTGCATGAGATTCGGCTGCCCCCTTGCTCCTATCGCATGGGCACCCACTGGGTGGGCTTCGGAGCGGCCATCCTCGGCAAGTGATCTATGAGGAGAGCAAGGGACTCCTGAAGCATTATTTGTTTGTGCTTCCTTAATTTTTTCTTATTGCGTTTCTGCGGCTGTAGTACCAAGTTAGTGCACCAAGAGGTCCCAGACACACAGCCCGCAGGCCTCATGCTTTTGCCAGCGACGTAGCTTACACATGACTGTCTTTGGCCCATTTTTTTTATTTCTTAATAATTATATTCATGAGCTAGACCGAAATGACTGATGCTAATGTGCCTCTACATATGCATGTCACCCTCTATGGTGCACTATTAAGCAGTTCTTCCGTTAGACGCCCCATGTGGTCATCATGAGTTGAAACAACCGTGAAACTATCAGCATTCCAATTTGAGTCATTAGTGAACATCTTCGTCAATATGTTGTGCAAATCTTGATGTCAAATACCCTTTGGAAATGATCCACATATGAAATATGGGAAATCAGTCTTTCATGTGGCAACGTTAGCTGTCAAATTTTAACGAACTATCCCTCCTTCCCCCCTCCTCCTTGCTCTTACACCTTCTTTGCTGTCCTGGCCCTTGTGGGACTAAATTTCATGGCTGTGGCCTGCTAATTGAGATTAGTTCGAAACCCCTGGTTTATGAAAACCACAGATTTTTCAGTAGGTCTTGAAAATGCTATACAGTCGATCCCAGATATATCAAACTCGAAGGGGATCATAAAATAGTTCGATATATCGATACTTCGGAATAAAGAATACGTCTATTTTAGTTACCTTGTAACGCTGTGAATTTTGGAGCAGTTCCCAGAGTCTGTGCCAGGCAGGAGCTTGCTGATTTGCGCAGAATATATAACGAAAAAAGCACGAGAACTATCGCACTTTATTTGGCATGAAAAAAAGTCAGTGACCTTAGATTGCCTCATATTTTTAGCCATGAAATTCATGAGGCCATCCTCAATATTGTTCAGCCTCTCCACATAGCCTAGTCCTGCGCCTTTGATAGTGCCACAACAGCGGCGAATGAGGCTGAATGGCGAAAAAAGTTTTGCTACGGTGCACAGTTGCTTCGACGCGTCATCGGCATCATCATCACTGCTCAGGTCCGCGTCATCGGCATCATCATCACTGCTCAGGTCCGCTGCACCGACACCAGTGACGTCGGCCACAATTTCCGCATCAGTGCGGTCCGAAACGGCTTGCACATCATCATCAGTGATCAAATTGGTTGCTGTTACTCGATCAGCAATGGCACCTGGGAACACCGAGAGCTGGCAGAAGTGGTCGTCGTGGCATTCTAGGTCATCGTCTGCTGTCATATCGCTCCTTAGGTCGTCGGGTAACTCTAGTAGGCCAGCTTTACTAAAGCAGTTTATGACTGTGGTTTTCTTCACATTGTTCCATGCCCCAGCCATCATTTGAATCACTCCGAGAAGGTCGATTTTCAATTCGACCCCCAACGATCAGGAGCTGTTGCACCAGACGTTGCCTGTATTCTACGTTACATGCTTTGATAATGCCTTGGTCGAGAGGCTGTAACCTTCTCATGGTGTTGGGTGGCAAAAACTTGATAGTTATTCTTTTCAAGTGGCTAACGACGTGGTGCGCAGAACATTTGTCTACAGGAAAGCAAATTCTGCGATCCACCTTCTCCGATTTGTCATCTCAAGCGCGGATCCACTCTGAGAAAAAGTCCCGCTTCATCCACGCTTCTTTATTGAAAGCGTATTGGACCGGGAGGGCTCTTCGTGTTCCCTAAGCAGTGCGGCGACTTGCTTCTGCCGATAACAAACGGCCGCAGCTTACAAGAATCATCCAAGTTCATCGCGAGCAGTATCGAAACGCGCACTGTGCTCATCTTACCCCCATGACAGGAAGGCCCCTTAAGGGGGGACACATGTCTTAAAAGGCCGAAAATTACGAAAAAAACTACTTTTTAAAGTTAACATATTTGGAATCTGCAACTATTTTTGCACTTATCTGAGAAATTTCTAGCTTCTTGTGTCATTATTTCTAGTACCAAATCAATTTATAACAACCCTGTGAGATAAATATGAGCACAAATAGATGCTAAAGTCGCGCTTTTTTCACGCCGAACTGTTGCCATTACACACGAGCTATCGTGGTCATCTTGGTCTCGTTTGGAAGGGTCGTTCATCTTCAATTTCCTGCCACCAGTGGCTTGCCTTGCTCATTAGTTTTTGAGCAAGAACGCGTCATCGAGAAGCACTGCCGCGTGCTTCTCGATGACGCATTTAACAAAATTAAACAAAATTAAATTATAGATGGGCAAAAGTTTGTTTGCTTTTTCCTTTTGCCTTTTAGTTTCTATCCCAGAAACGAGACGAGACAACTACAGACACAACTGCGTTCGATGCAAACGAAAGCAATATTGTTCTTTTTCTGTATTGTTTATTACTACTGCACGCGCTTCAGGTGCCCACAGTCTTTGCCTTCCTCTTCTTGCCTCTTGTGAATTTCAACAGGTTCTAGCCCGCGACAAGTTTTTTTTTTCACGAGAAAATAACTTGACATGCAGGTGATCAGCAGGTGAGGTGTATAAGAAGGATCTGTAGTGACAACGGTGAATACATCCACCACTTGAGTAATCTAAAGGAAATATTAGTTGAAAGAAATTACCCACAAGAGACCCTAAACAAGGTCTACAACGAAGCATGTAAACTAGATAGAAAACAACACTAGCTAAAAAAACTCCCGTTGCACGATCCCAACAAACCGCCAGCATTTATGACCAAATACTCGAATGCGTTCCCAAACATAATCTTCACAAGTATTATCCAATATTGGCAAGCAATGAGCGCCTTAGAAAAGCGTTTCCCGAAGTACCAAAGGTCGTGTATCACCGCAACAGGAATTTTAAGGACATGTTAGTGCATGCAAAAGTAAACTCTCATTTTCTGGCCAAGTAATACCTTGTTCCAGTCTAGATGCTTTGATAACACCTTTAAGATGACATGATAGTTAAAAGCACCAGGAGTGATTATGTCCATCATATAAAAGCTAGTTTTACTTGCGCTAGTGGAAACGTTATCTACATGATCCGATGTTTATGTTGTCATAAAGAGTACATTGGTGAAACAGGACAGCCTGTTAATGTTAGATTAAACGGTCATCCCGCAGACACACCAAAGAAATTACCAAAAGCAGTGGCACAGCATTTCAGTGTAGCAGGATACAACTTCGATGATCTCAAGCTCTACATTTTTAAGTCACACTTACGGTCTGCAATAGACGGAAAATATATAGAGTAGTCGTACCTTATTCACAAGTTCAATACACGCCCCGCCGCGGTGGTCTAGTGGCTAAGGTACTCGGCTGCTGACCCGCAGGTCGCGAGTTCGAATCTCGGCTGCGGCGGCTGCATTTCCGATGGAGGCGGAAATGTTGTAGGCCCGTGTGCTCAGATTTGGGCGCACGTTAAAGAACCCCAGGTGGTCGAAATTTCCGAAGTCCTCCACTACGGCGTCTCTCATAATCAAATGGTGGTTTTGGGACGTTAAACCCCACATATCAATCAATCAATCAAATCACAAGTTCAATACAATCCTGCCAGTAGGTATAAATGTTTCTAAAGGGGCTCTGGCATCAATTCAGCATAGTACATACACAAAGAAAACCACTGCGATTTAAGCCCTCCATTTGAAATTTCAAACCTGCCATTGTTAACTTCTGACTACCGGTTTGACAACCGGGACCCCGCGACATGTGTACATCTTCAACTCCCCATTGCTTTTTTTTTCCACGGAATACCTGTTTCTTCTTTACTCATACAATTAGTCTCTCACACTCTCTAACACACGCGTATCGAATATGGCCTGTTTCGCTTCTATGTTAGGATGGAGGAGAGGGTATGACGTAGACACGCTAGCACTAAAGAAATCAGTTTTATTCTAGCCTTGAGGAAGACAAGTCTGCTTCTTGAAACGTCGGCTCGACACAACCCTTGTTTACGGATTTTTCATCGCAAGCTTCGATCTTCCCCCTCCTGTTCTTTTGTTAGGTCTTTGTCACTTTTCTCTGCATTGATGTGAACCACCATTAGTACTTTCATGTTCTGCTCTGTTGTGCACAAGTTAGCTTGACCTTGCACTGTCCACCCGAATATATTTTCTACTGTGGTCAACTTCTCTTCTAGGTGGCTTTCATGCTCCCCCCTTTTACCACTTGCCAATACTGGTCCGAGCTGATAATCATGCTGGTTTCCCGGTGGTCAGCGTTTCTACCTCAGCCATCAAATGGCTTGAATCTATCCCCTTCATACTTCTTTTGGAGTGTTATGGGCAGGAATAGCACTCTTTTGAGTGATGTCCATCTCCAGCATTTCTTTAATAACACCTCTTACTTTTGTAGGCACTTTTCAGTTCAATGTCTACTGGCTTCATGACTCAGTTTCACTTCCTCTGAACAAGCCTATCATGAGTCTTTATTTCTCTTTAACTTTGTGAGACAGGCTTTTTAATATGAGTGACCTTCTGCTGCCCATATCCAGCAGAACGCGACAAAAAGATGACTGTGTTCAACCTTCTGCCACTGCAGCTGTATTCTGTAGGGGTACACTTAAATCAATTTTTCGAGAATTGGCAGGTGGAGGATTGGTCTTCTTTATCTTTACTTTTACCTGGAACAGCCACTGTAGACTTTGCTGTAAGTTCTCTTTGCTAACACGTAGACGTTTAATGCCCTTTTCGACATATTTTGCACATGATGTTTGTCCTACATATTTTGGTAATATGTTGAGGCCTTGTACAGAGGATAACATGTTTGCCTTTTTTAGCTTCATTTTTTTCTCTTAATAAGACATGGTTTTTCTACAGTCATCAGTATAGTGAGTAATAGTATCTCAAAATATGCAATACTTTATAGTTGTACATTGCAAATAAACCATTGTTTTCTGTTGATTACTCTGTTTTGTTGCCGTGACTCATTTCTTTCTATCAGCAATGATTCTCTGCCTTCCACTTGATCTTCTAAGCATTTCATCAAGCACCTAAGACTAATTTCTTGAATTA